CAAGGTCTGCCAGATGTGGCAACGACCCACTGCCAAATCCATGTCAGCAGTGCGTCTCTCACCACTCGATTCAACCAGGTCGTGCAGGTGGATTTCTTCTTTATCTTCCAGCTCACCATCTTGCATGTACTGGATGAGGCCACCAGATGGACAGCAGTTCGAGCCGTTCCCTCACGAGAAGAAGGAGATGTGCTCCCTGCCTTTGAAGACATGTGGATCGCACTTTTTGGACCTCCACGTATTCTCATCATCGACCAAGAAGGAGCTTTTGCGCACGACGCCGGTATGGCGATGTGCGAACGTCACGCTATCCATAGGAAGCTCAGGGCTGTGGATCAACACGCCCAGATGGTCGAGAGACATCATGAACTTTTTTCGGGGAGTCTGTCATCGCTGTAAGGAGCAGTGTGACCGCGAGGGCATCATCATCAAACCCGAGCAGATTGTACGCGAGTCGTGCTATGCCAAGAACGCTCTGATGACTATTGGCAGGACTACACCGTACAAGGCTGTTCTGGGTGAAACGCCTGTTCCAGATCAGCCCATGGACCCACGACAACGAACACCCACGCCTTCGACATCAAGAAGCAGATCTGACAAATCCGTTCGCTTCGCAACACCTGTTCGGACTGCGCCACCAGCAGACAATGACGAACCACGAGTATCGAAGCGCGGCAGATCAAGTACACGTTCCCTGGCTGGACCGTCCACACCGTCACGACGAGCTCGGATGGACAAGGAGGAGTCTGCAGGAGCTGGACAACCCGTTCTTCCTCTGCGAGAACCTCATGATCAAGAAGTACCACGGACAGCTATGCCAGGGACTTCATCAAACAGTGGGCCGAATGCCTCAGCATCTGAGGCTGGACAAGTTCAAGTACCTGACGATGATGACCCAGCTGAGCTCGAGACTATACCGCATGATGAGGATGGAGATCGTCTCGACGAAGTCTCGATGGATGATGACGAGGAGGCGCACGATGAGGACCTCTATGTTGACGCCTGGTGGACTGCGGTCAGCAGTCATTGTCGCAGGTAGACCATCGAGACAAGGGATTTCTTCAACGTGAACGAAGCACTGTCTGAAGTGACTCAGCCGAACATCACCGGCAGCGAGCCTCCAGAGATCGAGTTCGACGGCGCGCTGGTGCACTGGCTGGAGCGCGGTCACTTCGTCACCCGCATGAACGACTGGCGAGACGGACGTCTCGTAGCACGGTGGGAGTCCTCCAGGCAGAGCTGGTGCTTCCTCATCGAGAGGGAAATACACAACCTCACCAAGGAGGAAGAGCGCATCCATCACAAGGACGTGCTCGCAGCTAAGCTGAAGGAGCTCAAGTCCTGGGTGGAGCTCGAGGCCTTCTGCCCTGTGCCTAGAGGAGCTGGCAAGAATGTTATGACGGGACGCTGGGTACTAAGGTGGAAGATCATCGACGGCGCGAAGGCCGTCAAGGCGCGTCTAGTCATCCGAGGTTTTATGGGCCAACAGCAGGGTGGCCTCGACACAGCCAGTTTTACTGCAAGGCGCACTTCACAGCGCCTCGTACTTAGTGTTGGAGTGCAGTATGGTTGGGCCATCTTCAGCTGGGACATTGGCAACGCTTTCCTGAGAGGGCTTAGCTTCACGGAGATCAAGGGGCAGGGTGCAGAGGTCATGCGAGAAGCGTGCTTGGACCCGCCGGCAGATGTCTTCTCCATCTTGCAAGAGTTTACAGCCTTCAAGGGTACCAGCAAGATGACGCACCTGCTCAAGCTCCTCAATGGTGCCTATGGCCTGAAGGACGCTCCAAGGCTATGGAAGCTACGTCTAGACCAGTATCTTACCTCAGTTGGAGGACAACAGTCCTCTCTTGATGGATGCATATGGATGTGGTTCAAAGATGGGAAGTTACATGGCCTGCTGTCGACACACATTGAAGATTTGAAAGGAGCAGGTACCCCTGAATGGCGTGCTGGGCGGTTTGGACAGTTGAAGTCAAAGTTCGGCAAGATTTACCGTCCAGGAACGAGAGTTTGAGCACTGTGGCATACAGCACAAGCAGCTAGACGACGGCAGCATCACCATCACCCAGGACCACTACATCAAGGAGCTCAAGCCGATTCCACTCACAGCAGAGCAGAGGTCGTCGCCCGATGGCGTGGTGGACGACGCCCTGCACGGACATTTCCTAGCATTACAGGGCGGTCTTGGATGGACCGTCAATACCAGGCATGACATTGCGGTCTACGTGGGAGCCTTACAACGGCACCATAAGGCCCCCACCATCATGGACGTGATCAACCTGAACCGCGTGTTGAAGTGGGTCAAACGCAAGCCCTGTGTGATCCGCTTTGAGAAGTTGATGCCGCCGCTACGTGTTCTTGTCATCAGCGACTCGGCCTTCAATTCCAGAGAATGGTGAATCCATGGCATGCCGTGGACATGTACTGGCGTTGGCCGAGAAGCAGGACGACAACCCTGGCGGCAGAGCTCACTGGCTAGAGGCCGTATCCAAGCGACACCGTCGAGTGACGAGATCTACTTTCGCAGCAGAGATCAATGGATTGGCCGACGCCATTGAACCAGGTAAAGTGATTGCAATGCAGTGCAGTGAAGTGATCAACGGTACCACCACTGCACGCAAGATGGCAAGTGACGCATCCCAAGGCAACTGGCCCATACGAATGGAGGCAGTCATCGACGCAGACTCGGTCTTCAAGTCCGTGACCGCCCAGGACGTCAAGTTGCCGCTAGAGGAGCCACTCATCAGTATCGTGATGGCCGTGAGAGAACAATTCAGTGATGGTCTCTTAGAACGTTTGTGGTGGTGCAGTACGGTCGACATGCTGGCAGATGCTATGACCAAGGGCGCATGTGCACGAGAACCACTTCTTGATGCGCTTTCGTCTGGACGCTGGCAGTTGACCAAGTCTTCCAAGTCAGCACGACTACGTCTTGGGTGTACTCCCATTCGAGGATCCAGTGAGTCGGTATGGGGTCAGGAGCTCGACCAGCCGGTGACATCGGCTATTGTGAGGACGAGATCATGAGGAGCGAGCAGCTTCGAAGTACAACCAGAGTGATCAGAACCCTCTCGTCGGGCTCGTCGGTGCCTCGCCCTGACCCCGCGCCTGCCGCCGCTGTTTCGTATCAAGGCTGCAGCCCGTGTTCTGCGCGCCTAGTGACGGCGCAGGTTTTCCCGCCAGGAGGTGGCGGCACTGGCACTGAGAACTTACTTTCGTTCCTTCCCTTGGAAAGGTTCCGCCGCGATAGCTTGTATCAGCAGCAGGGCAGCGGGCAGCACAGCAAGAGGGAGTACAAGACGAGAGTATACGTTGACTGGAGGAGGAGGAGGAGGAGGAGAGAGGAGGAGAGAGGAGGGAGAGAGGAGGAGGAGGAGGAGGAGGAGGAGGAGGAGGGAGGAGGAGGAGGAGGAGGGAGGAGGAGGAGAGGAGGAGGAGGGAGGAGGAGGAGGAGGAGGAGGAGGAGGAGGAGGAGGAGGAGAGAGGAGGAGGAGAGAGGAGGAGGAGGAGGAGGAGGAGGAGGAGGAGGAGGAGGAGGAGGAGGAGGAGGAGGAGGAGAAGCAGGAGGCTGGCCGTCGGCGCCAGCGCCGAGTATCGGCGATCGAGGGTGGAGGTTCGCAGCTCGAGAGGCGAGTCTCGAGCGTCGAGGTCCGAGAGTCGAGGATGGAGGTTCGAGAGTCGAGGTTCCAGGGTCGAGGTTCGAGAGTCGAGGATTGCAGTTCGAGAGTCGAGGTTCGAGGGTCGAGGCTCAAGAGTCGAGGATCGAGGTTCGAGGATCGAGTTCGGAGGATCGGGGTTCGAGAGTCGAGGTTCGGGCCTATATGCGGGTCGAGGATCCAGGCTCTTGGATTGAGATTCGAGCATCCCCGTCATCGGGCGCCTCTTTTCGGAGACCTCTAACGGCCTCCGGGTACCTCTCGTGATCTTCTGGCGGGCTTCTGCGGCCCTCTGCCGTCGCCGTCGCCGCCGTCGTCGGTGCCGCCGTCGGAGGAAGAGAAGCGGAAGCACCCAGTTTTCGGAGGCTGTCATTCCGAGCGTGAATCACCTACCCCGCTTTCGCTTCCAGGCAAAACCAAGTCATACCACGCGCCTCCTCGTCAAGCGGCCTGACCAGTACAGGCTGCAATTTGGCCTCGTTTGGTATCTCTTGGAAGCGAGGGTGGTCAAGAGCGAGGTAGGTTTGTTTTCCCCCTAGGAGAAGCACCCAGTCTTCCGGGGTTGTCACTGGTCGGATGCCCGGCGTGGCTTCCTGCTTGCGTGGCCTCGTGCGCTTCGGCCGCCGGGGCCCACTGCCGGGCAGCACAGTGAAGCTGGGACCCCTCCCCCTCCTCCTCCTCCTCCTCCTCCTCCTCCTCCTCCTCCTCCTCCTCCTCCTGCTCCTCTATCCTCCTCCTCCTCCTCCTCCTCCTCCTCCTCCTCCTCCTCCTCCTCCTCCTCCATCTCCTCTATCCTCCTCCTCCTCCTCCAGGGGGGGTGGATATCACGGCGGGGGCCATGACATTTCCCCAGATGTTATGGCGCCTCTTCTTATTTCATTGCGTCCCTGGCCCCCCCGCTGGGCCGCGCACATGCCGCCAGTCATGATTTGCACCCCCCCCTCTTGGACAACCTCCCTCTTGGCCGCTCCCGAAAAGTATTCCGGGGGTCAGGGCTCCAGAGACCAGGATTTGCAAACAAGGATTTTGCCTGATCCAGGGGGGGGAAACGAAGTATGGAGGATGTCTCGGCTGGTCGATGGAAGTGGTTCTCTCAAGTGCGCCAGTGTCCTGGTTGATCTAAGTCCTCCCTTCACGGGGCCCTGACGGGGAAGGGGTCAGAGTCGCATGTGCGACGTCAGCAGCTGCAGGTGCAGAGATGGATGCGGGAGAGGAGGAGTGCTGGGCAGACATCGCGGGCGTACGAAATTCCCTCGGCGCGTCGTCAATACAGCTCGGACTGGTCGCGCATTCGCAGAGGGGTGCCGCAAGGAGGGCGCAGTGGCCCGCGAAGTATGGGAGGTGATCACCTACAACCAGTCCAAGCACGCGACGGGCTCCGTGATCGCAGACATCCGCGCTGTGTGGGGCGACAAGACGCCCGCATCTGCTTTCTCGGCCTCGTTCTCGATGTCTTCGTGTGTGCACGTGTGCATGTGTGTGAGTGGGCTCCGAGATCCTCCCCACCCCTCCGCGCGGTCGGACCGAGGTACAAGATCGAGGTCGGCTCGGGGAGGGCGCCCTGCTGTTCTTCGGCCTGGTTGGATGCTCTTGCTTGGCATCGCTCGGACGTTTGCACTCTTCTTCCGGCGAGGACCATCGAGGAGCATCCTAGATCATCTGGCGGAAAAACCACGCACGAAACCGAACAACAACTCAGGGAATGGACGTCCGAGCGATGGCCAGCTCGTGCATCATGGAGAGGGCACCGTCGGGGATGCTCGCTTTTTGTTGCCCGGCGGAGGGCCTCGTGCTCCTGCCTTAAAGGGCGCCCCTCGGCCCCAGCTCCGGCCGCAGCTGCTTCCTCGCTCGCCCCCCCCGCCTTCTCGGCTTCGAGCAGTGGCGAGGCGTCCTTGCTTGCCTACAGGAGGAGGAGGCGGAGGAGGAGGAGGAGGAGGGGGAGGCGGAGGAGGAGGCGGAGGAGGAGGAGGAGGAGGAGGAGACGGAGGAGGAGGAGGAAACGGAGGAGGAGGAGGCCCACCATCAAAGGTTCTCGGAGTCTTGGTGCGGTCTACACGACATGTTTTTAGAGCGGCTCTGGCTGAGACTCTCTAGTTCTGGCACATCGGCAGCGGGCCGCTGTTCTGAGAGCACGGTGATCGCTATTCGAACATTCTGGGGTTCTGCGAACATCTCGTGGCATGCCTACAGGCAGGCCGGGACGGTCGGCCCCTGCTCGACGGCTGCCGCCCCCCCCCCTCCCCGAGCGAGACGCCCGTCAGAGCCCCGAATCATCAGGGGGGCAACTCGGGTCAGGGCCAAATCGGGCTCGTTCCTCCGCGCGCGGGTGCGCGCCCAGCCGTCCGGAAGCGGCGGCGGGCGAGGGGAGGCCAGGGAGGCGGAGGAGGAGGAGGAGGAGGAGGAGGAGGACGAGGAGGAGGACGAGGAGGATGAGGAGGAATCCCAACCCGACTCACCCCGGGCCCGAGTTGCCCCGGACAGTGCGGGCGCCCAGCGCCCGCACGCAGCGTGTGGCCCCCCGTGCTCCTCGCTGGTCCGAGCGTGTGCCCCCCTTCGCCGCGCTGCGAGGGCCGCCCCCTCGGCGGCTCTCCGGGCGCTGCTCCGGCGCCCTCTCCGGCGCGTCGCGCGCGCGCGTGGCCGCGGAGTCCCAAGATCGCCGGTCGTTGAAAGCAGGTATTTTTCACCACCCACCAAACCACCCCAACCCAACCCGAAGGCTCAGATTTACCCTCGATTTCTAGTGGGGGGGGGTCCGGGAACATCGAAAAAACACATATGGAGCCCATACCCCCCCCCAACCCGAAATTCGGGTCTTCGGGTTGGGTTGGGGTGGTCTGGTAGGTAGTCAATTTTTGGATTCCCAGATCCCAATCTATTTCAAGCGCCTTCCTGCTTCAAGAATCGGCACGCTCTTGCTGCGTTTTGTTGTTCCCTGGGGGGGCCTGGACCCAATCTGCTTGATCCGTCTTCCTACTTCATATTTCTACCTACTTCTTCCGACCGACGTGTAGAGGTTGACACCAACACCAATATCGGCGGTGTGCCTCCACCGAGGGAAGAAGATCCCGATCTCGGTGATGGTGGTAATATTCTGGCTTCCAAGGTGACCGAAATATTGCCACCAGCACCGAAGCCTAGGATCACCTCCCCCCCGTGTAGGCAGCCCCCTGTCTTGGTGTTGGTGCCCATTTCCAGGCCTCCAACAAGAGTCCAGGGAAAAATCCTGGCGCCCCGCTCGGATTTCTTGGATCCGCGCTGGGCCCCCCTGTCGGCGCCTCCGGCGCCGCCCGCCCCTGGCGCGCACCGCGCGCCAGGGAGGGGGGTCCAGCGCAGATCCAAGAAGTCCGCGCGGAGCGCCAAAAGTGTATGTGTATAGCTGTTTGTGTTCTTCTACCATTTGCGCTTTCGGTCGCAAAGAGTTTCTTTTTTGCTTTAGATTCGGGCAAGTTTCGTTGCATGGGCGTTCGCCCCCCCACACCACCCCCCTCGCCCCTTTTCGATCGAAGGCGAGCGAGCAAGCCCGTTCGACTTGCGCGATTTCCGCACGTCAAGTCGCTTGCGGCTTGCTTCAGGTTCAGGCCCCCCCCCCGTCCATGCAAGTAAATTTGCCAGAGGCAAAATAAAACTGACTGAAATCATGGGAGTCTGGTATACAGTAGAGGCCCATGCCAGGAAACATCCTGCTTGTCTCCAGGGTTTCTTTGGTGCCGATGGTTTTGCTATGAGGAGCGCGACGTTCACACACACACACACACAAAAATCAATGGAGGCCCTGTGGTCTGATGGTTGGGCTTTTTGTGGACTGGCCTCCACTGTATGCTCTTTGAATTATGTCTTGATCGTAGACTTGCGGCGATCAGCGCCTGAGAGTCAATGAGATAGTGCCGATTCAGCGTCGGCTCGCGTCGATGAGCGTCGATGTACCGTTGTGTCGCGTCGACGAGGGTCGATTCGCAAGGGCCGACGAGATGGTATTGGAGGCTCCCATGAGTTGCCACCGACGTGTGTGTGTGTGTGTGTGTGTGTGTCTGTGTCTGTGTCTGTGTCTGTGTGTGTGTGCGTGCGTTCGGATGGGGCCAGGACGAGGATAAATCCGTTCCAGAACGTTTCTGGAACGCGCTCAGAGCGTTCGGGAACGTTGTGAGAAGGCCGCGTCGCCCGAGACGTCTTACAGAGCCGCGGGATCTCAGAGATTCTCTCCTCACCCGAATGTATCGTCGTCCTGGCCTCATTTTAAAAGTGTGCTTGTGTTTGGATGCGTGTGCGTGATCAGCGTGTGAGCGTGTGTGCGTGTGTGCATGTGTGCGTGTGCGTGTGCGCGTGCGCGTGCGCGTGCGCGTGCGCGTGCGTGCGTGCGTGCGTGCGTGCGTGCGTGTGTGTGTGTGTGTGTTTGTAAGTGTGTGTGTGTGTGTGTGTGAGTGTGTGTGTGTGTGCGCGTGCGCGTGCGCGTGCGCGTGCGCGTGCGTGCGTGCGTGTGCGTGCGTGCGTGCGTGTGCGTGCGCGTGCGCGTGCGCGTGCGTGTGCGTGTGCGTGTGCGTGTGCGTGTGCGTGTGCGTGTGCGTGTGCGTGTGCGTGTGCGTGTGCGTGTGCGTGCGCGTGCGCGTGCGCGTGTGCGTGTGCGTGTGCGTGTGCGTGCGTGCGTGCGTGTGTCTGTCTGTGTAATGGAGGTACACAATTAAGAAAATGTCCCACCCCCCCTCCCCCGTCCCTGGGGGCCCAAAGTTGAGTGGGGCAGACTAATAGAATTTAACCGCCGGATCTTGTTTTTTGAAATCGTCCGCCCTCCTGGCGTTCTATCTCGCCGCCTTCCGGAAACTGATTTTCTATTCGTCCTCTGGCGCTCGTTTGATCACCCGCGCCTGCGGGGGGAGGATTGCGGAGAGGGGCCTCTGGAAGCGCCGGTCGGGAGTCCCAGCAGCGCAGACGCTTGTCTTTCCCGTGTCTGCCGTTCCGACGAAGGAAGAAATAGGTTTCGGTAGGTAAGCGAGGAGGAAGGGAGGAAGGAGGGCGGGGAGGGGAGGGGGACAGAGAGGCACGAGGAGCGAGGGAGGCAAGAGGAGGAGGAGGCAAGAGGTGGTACGCTTCAGCATTTGAGCTTAGGCTTATCCAACGTGCACAGGAGGCGGAGGAGGGGGAGGAGGAGGAGGGGGAGGAGGAGGAGGAGGAGGAGGAGGAGGAGGAGGAGGAGGACAGAGAGAGCAGGCCCCATACAAAAAATACAGTCCTGGCGGCCAGGAGCGGCATGGGCTCGTTCCCCCCTCGGTCTGGGCCGGGGGCTGCGGCCCGCAGGCCGCAGGGAGTTTAGCCAGAGGCACGCATACAGTCGGGGCCCTGAAGAAGGAACCCTTTTCGTTGGGGAGGGGCTTCGCGTTCCTTAAGTGTTTCGCAGCTTGCCTCAGGTTTTCCTTATGTTTTTGATCGGAAATCGAAGTTGAACTCATGGTAAAAAGGGGCCTCGTTCCTTATTTAGGGTTCCTTAGGTCAAGCCCCCGACTGTAGGCTGTCTCGCCGTCCCCCCTCGAGGATCAGGGTCATCCAGACGCTCGAGGACGGCAAGCAGCGCCTGCCGAACACGGACGGGGCGCTGTACGTCAGGCGTCGCGGGGGCTGCGCTCGTCGGAGGGGGGCCAGGAGGAGGAGGATGAGGAGGAGGAGGAGGAGGAGGAGGAGGAGGGGGAGGAGGGGGAGGAGGGGGAGGACGAGGAGGAGAGAAGGAGGAGGAGGGGGAGGACGAGGAGGACTAGGAGGAGGGGGAGGACGAGGAGGAGGAGAGGAGGAGGAGGAGGAGGAGGAGGAGGAGGAGGAGGAGGAGGAGGAGGAGGAGGAGGAGGAGGAGGAGGGGGAGGAGGGGGAGGAGGAGGAGGAGGGGAGGAGGAGGAGGAGGAGGGAGGAGGAGGAGGAGGAGGAGGAGGAGGAGGAGGAGGAGGAGGAGGAGGAGGAGGAGGAGGAGGAGGAGGAGGAGGAGGAGGAGGAGGAGGAGGGAGGAGGAGGAGGAGGAGGAGGAGGAGGAGAGGAGGAGGAGGAGGAGGAGGAGGACGCCGACAACCAGGAGGGGCTCGACCCACTTCACCATACGAGAGGGGGGAGCGACGACTTGCGCAGAGGGGGGATGTCAGGGCCCTCGCACCCGCCTCCTCCGCGCGCCGCTCCCCTCCCGAGGAGGAGGAGGAGGAGGAGGAGGAGGAGCAGGAAGAGGAGGAGGAGGAGGAGGAGGAGGAGGAGGAGGAGCAGGGGGAGGAGGAGGAGGACGGAGGGGGGGAGGAGGAGGAGGAGGAGGAGGAGGAGGAGGAGGAGGAGGAGGCGCCAGGTGGCCTCTCTGCATGTCGACCGCCAGGCTACCTCTCTCTGCGGGGCGGGGGCGGGGGAGGCGGTGCGCGAGAGGCCTGGAGGTTCCTGGGAGGCCCCGGGACCGACCAGGCGGAGAAAGACGGGGCCCGTTCAGTCCCGGCGCGAGGACGAGCGAGGAGTTCGAGGAGGAGCACGAGCACAAGGGGTGGGGGCGAGCACGAGGGCGAGGAGAGGAGCAGGAGGAGAGGAGCAGGGAGCGAGCGAGAGGAGCGGAGGGGGAGGGGTGGAGGAGGTGGACGGGGTAGAGGAGGTGGAGGGGAGGAGGGATGATGACCAGAACGATGAGGAGAACCGGGTGGGGGAGGGAGGAAGGAGGAGGAAGAGGAAGGAGGGAGGAAGGAAGGATGAGGAAGCAGGATGAAGGAAGGAGGAGGACGAGGAGGACGTCGACAACCCTGCGCGGGGGCTGCTCGTCGTCATCTTCCTGTCCTGCTTTCTCCTCCATCCCTCCTTCCTCCCCCGCCATCCGCCCCCCCCACCCCTCACTCAGTGAACTGACATTCACATACACATCCGCCCACCCCCTCTCTCTCTCTCCCTCTCTCTTTCTCCGATCTGTATGTATACATCCCCTCACCCCTCGTTCCTCCCTCCTCCGTCTCCCGCCCTACCCGCCTCCATCCTCCTACACCCCTGCTTCCATCATCCCCCGCCTCATCCTTCCTCCGTCCGTCCTCCTCCCACCCCCAGCTCTCCTCCCGAGAGCGCCCTTGCTCCAGTTCTGACGGCACTCGCCAAGCCTGAGCCCAACCAAAAGCTTCCCATTCCTCCTCCTTCTCCCAACCAACAACCTCCCATTTCTCCTCCTCATCCAAGCCCAACCGACAACCATACGACGATCCTCCCGCTCTCTCTCTTCCTTTCCCTCCCCCCCGTCCCGTCCCGTCTCGTCCACCTCTCCGCCTCCACCCACCTCCCTCCCCCTCTTCCTTCATTCGGTCGGACCGAGGCAAGTCTAGACGCTTCGCGTATCCCCACCAGCCCATCCAGAAATGATGCCCAGGGGAATTGAAGTGATCAGGGAAGTGAGGGAGCATACAGAGTCTCAAAGGGCTGGGGACCCGTCTTACTCCAAGAGGGGGAGGATGGAGGACGAATCGGAGGAGGATGAGAAGGAGGAGGAAGTGGAGGAGGAGGAGGGGAAGGGGGAGGAGGGAGGAAGGAGAAGAAGGAATAGGCGGATGAGGAGGAGGATGAGGAGAGTGAGAAGGAGGAAGATGAAGGAAAGGGCGAGCAGAATGGCCAGAGGCCTCTTGGATGCCTCTCGGAGTCTCTCCAGATGTCTCTTGGGAGCTTCTTGGACGCGTCTTGGGACGTCTTGGGGGCCTCATGGCGGTCCTAGAGGCCTCTTGGAGCGTCTTGGGTGCCTCAGGGACTCCGGAGGGGGTGGGTGGGGTGGTGGAGGGGGGGGTGGAGGGGGGGGAGGGGGGGGGAGGGGGGGCGGAGGCGCTCTTGGGAGCCGTGGGGGCCTCTTGGGGCCATCTTGGGACCATCTTGGGGCCATCTTGGCGCCTCTTGGGGCCTCCTGGGCGCCTCCTGGAGCCATCTTGGAGACGATCGATCAAAGAAGGGGAAGGTAGCAATTAGCGTCGCCCCTCGGGAGCCTCAAAAATCGCTTCTTGGGCCCATCTTGAGGCGCTCTTGGGGCGCTCTTGGGCGCTCTTGGGGCCGTCTTGGGGCCATCTTGGGCCTCTCTTGGGGCCCTCTTGGGCCATCTTGGAGCCATCTTGAGGCCTCGAATGGCCATCGGAAGCGAAAAGGCGAGAAAGCAAAAAACATTGATTTCCCTCGGTTTGGGAGCCATTTTGGCCTCTTGGGGGGCCTCCTTGGGAGGCTCCAAGGCCATTTGGAGCCGTCTTGGGGCAGTCTTGGGGCCTCTTGGAGCATCTTGGGAGCCATCTTGGGGCATCTTCGGCTATCTTGAGCCATCTTGGAGCTCATCTTGGGCTCTCCGAGACACACTTGGAGCCGTCTTGGGCCATCTTGGACGCTCTAACCCCTCGCGGCCCCCCCCGTCCAGGTCCAGGGGAGGGGGTAGGGGGAGGGGTAAACCCCTCCCCAAAGGGGAAGAGGGAAGATGGAAGAGGAAACTCTCTAAACCACCTACGCCCAGAGGGCTGGTGGGATTATAAGATCGAGCTTGGTTCGGGAAGGGTACCCTAATATCCTTCGTGTCTGTTAGACTTTATTGTGCATCCTGGTGGAGGGTACCCTCGGAGGTTCTTCAGTTTGGCTGTCGAAGGGTCTTATGGCCTCGTTAGATGTTATTAGGTTTCGAGGTCCGGCCGTACTTCCTCCTTCCCCATCATCCTCCGATTTCTCTTCTCTCGTCCGCCTCATCCCTCTCCCCTCCCCTCCCTCCCCCCTCCCCCGGCGCTGACGGCGGGGGCGACGCGCCGCTGGAGGCCCAAGTCCTGGGGCGACATGGAGCACTTCGCCGAGCGTTTGAACTGGATGTGCTCCCAGGCCGCGCTGGGCCTTTGGGCTGGCAGGTACGATGCCAAGCACATCTTGGGTTTAGGGTTTAGGGTCAGCAACAGCGCGAAGATGTCAGCAGACTGGACGTGTCGTCCACTAGCGCGGTGCTCACATCCCACCCACGAGCCCTGGAAACCCACTGCATCTCAAAACACACGCACGCGCACACGCACACGCACACACACACAAACACAAACACACACACACACACACACCTTGGTGGTGCAGAAGCCGGCGAGGAAAGCCGGCGAAGAAAGCCGCGTGGAGCGGGGAGGGGCACTAGGAGCACGGGGAAGGGGCAGCAGGCAGGAGGAGCCACGCAGGAGCGCGCGGCGGCTTCTGAGAGGAGCTCCGCGACATCGCTTCGGGAGCGTCCGGTCTGGGCCCGCCGAGGGGCCCTGCCGCGGTGTCTTTGCGAGGCGCGCGCCGTCCCCCGGGCGGGCGCCGCGCGGGCGGCATGCGGCCCCGCGCCATAGTTCTGTGGATGATCGCGAAAGGCGCAGAGCAGCGGTGCGGATGGGATGTGCCCCGTGCCCCAGATCGCAGAAATCGGGTGAAGAGAACTATGCACATGCACCGATCCTGGCAAGGCCCGTCCTTGACCCAGGATCGGTGCATGTGCCTTCCTGGCCAGGGCAGGAGGGCGTATGCACCGATCCTGGGCTCAGGGTGGGCCTGGCCAGAATCGGTGTATGTGCATAGTTCTCTTTCCTCTATGTGCCCCGTGCCCCAGATCGCAGAAAGCAAGGGATTCGTTTCTTTCGGCGGCGCGCGCGGGATGTCGCCCGCGCCACGTTTTTGTTGACCGGGGGATCGTGCGAGTCGAGGGATTGGTTTTGCGACGTGCGCCGCACGACGTTTGTGATGGATGGCCGTGCGGAGTTGAGAAGTCCCCCCCCCCCGAGGCAAAACACGAATGCTATTTGTTGTGTATCGTGTAAGTTGATACCAACAAGAGCGCGAGGACGTCAACATATTGGACTTGCTATACGTCGGCGTGGTGCTTACATCCCGCCCGCCATGGAGACCCATTGCATATGAAAACACACGCACTCTGGCGCACGCACGCCAGCTGGGAATACCGTGTGGAACAGGGAGGAACGGGGACGAGCAGCGATGAGCACTGGGGAGGAACAGCAGGTAGGAGGAACAACAAAGAGCGCGCGGCGACCCTTTGGAGGAGCCCGCGTCATCGCTTCGGAGTGGTTGGGGCTGCCTACGGGCGCGGGGCGGTCCCTGCGAATCGCGCGCCGTCCTCGAATGGGCGCCGCGTGGGGCGGAACGTGCCTCGCGCGATGTTTTTTTTCGTGGGCGATCGTGGATTCGCAGAACAGCCGCGCGGGCGGGATGTGCCCACGCGCCACGTTTTTTTACGATCTCGAAGAGTAAGGAAGTTGTTTCCTTCGGCGGCGCGCGCGGGATGTGGCCCGCGCGGTATTTGTCATGGGAAATCGTGCGAGTTGGGGAATTGGTTTCGCATGGCGATGTGCGCCGAGGAGTGCAGGAGCGGGGTCCGCTGATGAACTTCTTGTCCCGCGTGGGATAACAGTTTAGGAAAAAACGCCACACGGGAACGGCACGAAAAAATCAGCCCCCCGAGGCGGAGACCGAGAATCACATGTTTCGCTTAGCATGCAAATGAATATTGGTAAGTAGCGTTGATACACAGCGCTTTATGGGTTTAGGATTCACCACCGATCGCACGAAACGTCAACGATCGGGTCCCCCGACAATAGGGCTGCACTCAATTGTGGGAAGCCCGCGCCTTCAGAGAAATGACCGTTTCATGGACGGCCCCGCAGTGGGAAGGAACCCCTTCCGGCTGCCCAGCTGATTTTCTATAGCACGTGCAAAGGAGAGCGCCGCTCTGTTTACTGACATGTTCAGCGGGGGCCAATTTTGATGAAGAGCCGCTGTTCATCCGTGTGCGCGTTGCGACGCAGTTTTCCTCAATCAGAGTTTGCCTCTGTCTGCAGGGGTCCCAGCGGATTCATATGGTTAGGTGAGGTGGGTCACCGATTTCGGTGGCCGGCCCAGATGCCCACGGGTGCCCGGGTGCCCGGGGGTGCCGAGTAGCACTATCGCCTTATGGCCTTATAGCCTCATAGCCCTATAGCCATATATAGCCCTATACCCATAATAGCCGTCCGTATACTCCATGTAGCCCTATAGCCTTATAGCCTTATCGCACTATAGCCCTATAGCCCTATAACCCTATAGCCCGATGGCCCGATAGCCCTATAGCCCCACGTATTTATAGCCCTGTAGCCCAATAGCCTTATAGTCCCATCAAGAATATGATTGGGTTTTTGTCCGGTATAATGTGTGTATAAGTTGAACATTTATCAAGCGGGAGCCGTAGTTTGGAAAGCAATGCGCCTTCCATGTGCCTAGTTGTTGCATCGTGTTGGAAGTAACGCTGCGCACGACGAGCATTTATCCTGCAACGCTACACGTTCGAGAAGGAACCGTCCTCCGTCCATGTAGTTGTTGCTTGCCTTTCCGTGCGACTGTGCGCGGCGATAAGGTGGAAGCAACAGTCTGAAGAAAAGGAACGGACGTCCATCGTTGTAATGTTGTGTTGAATTTGGGTATGGCGCATGTGCGCGGCTCTGGGGCGAGAGCCACATGTTGGAGGTTAGCCGCCTTCAAACATTGGAGTTGTTAAAGCAATGCAGGGCGAGTCTACGCGGCACTAAAGCGAGCTGCACGTTTCGAGCGCGGTCGGCCCTCGTTTCTTGTCGTTGTCCCACGGTCCAGGCGTCAACGATTGGCGCGGAAATCCACGCGAAACTGTCCAACAACGACGTGCCTTGTGCGGCGCCGATGCAAAACACAATTCTTCACGCTTCGCGTATCCCCACCAGCCCATCTCAAAACAGCAACTCTTGCGAAGCATGCCGACAGTCGTGTTTTTCAGGCGTGTGTCCGCTTGCCTCCGCATATCTCCCTTGTTCCTCCTTCCTCCCGCCTCCTTGTACATCCTCCTTGTGGTGGGAGCGGGAGAAGGACGAGGCGGAGGAGGAGGGAGAGAAAGCGGTGGGAGGCAAGAGGGATTTAGCGGAGACGACGACCACAGCGATGATCCTAACAACGACGACGCACCCGACGACGACGACGATATCGACCGCAACGACGACGACGACGATATCGGCCTGTTGGGGGACTCGTCCTTCCTTGTATGAGTGTCTCGGGCCCCTCATTGTGTGTGAGTGTCTCGGGCCCCTCATTGTGTGTGAGTCGTTCCTCCTCGTGGTGTGAGTCCTTCGGGCCCCTCGTCCTGTGTGAGTCGATCGGGCCCCTCCTTGTGTGTGAGTCCGTTCGGAGTCGTTCGGGCCCCTCTGGTGTGAGTCGTTCGGGCGCCTCCTTGCGTGTGCGTCGCTCGGGCCCCTCCTTGTGTGTGAGTCGTTCGGGCCGCTCGTCCTGGTGTTCGTCGCTCGGGCCCCTCCTGGTGTGTGAGTCGTTCGGGCTCCTCGTGGTGTGAGTCGTTGGAGCCCCTCGTCCTGGGGTGAGTCGTTCGGCCTCCTCGTGGGCCTCTTGGGGGCCTCTTGGAGGCTCTCGGGGCCTCTTGGGGGCCTCCTTGTGGTCTCTTGGGAGCCTCTTGGGGGCCTCGAGAAGCGTTTTGGGGCTTCTTGGAAGCCTCTTGGGGGCCTCTTGGGGGCCTCTTGGGGCCTCTTGGGGGCCTCGTGGGGGCCTCGTCCTTCCTTGTGTGAGTGCCTCGGGCCCCTCATTGTGTGTGAGTCGTTCGGGCTCCGCGTGGTGTGAGTCGTTCGGGCCCCTCGTCCTGGTGTGCGTCGTTCGGGCCCCTCATTGTGTGTGAGTCGTTCGGGCTCCTCGTGGTGGGAGTCGTTCGGGCCCCTCGTCCTGGTGTGAGTCGTTGGGGCGCCTCCTTGCGTGTGAGTCGTTCGGGCTCCTCGTGGTGTGAGTCGTTGGGGTCGCTCGTCCTGGTGTGCGTCGCTCGGACCCATCCTTGTGTATGAGTCGTTGGGGCTCCTCGTGGTGTGAGTCGTTGGGGCTCCTCGTCCTGGAGGGAGTCGCTTGGCCTCCTCGTGGGGCCTCTTGGCCCCTCGTCCTGGTGTGAGTCGTTGGGGCGCCTCCTTGTGCGTGAGTCGTTCGGGCTCCTCGTGGTGTGAGTCGTTGGGGCCCCTCGTCCTGGGGTGAGTCGTTCGGTCTCCTCGTGGGGCCTCTTGGGGGCGTCGTGGAGGCTCTCGAGGCCTCTTGGGGGCCTCTTGGACGTCTCTTGGGGTCCTCTTGGGGGCCTCTTGCGGCGTCTTGGGGCTTCTTGGGGGCCTCTTGGGGGGCTTTTGGGAGCCTCTGGGGGCGTCTTGGGGGCCTCTGAGGGGCCTCGTCCTTTCTTGTGTGAGTGCCTCGGGCCCCTCATTGTGTGTGAGTCGTTCGGGCTCCGCGTGGTGTGAGTCGTTCGGGCCCCTCGTCCTGGTGTGCGTCGTTCGGGCCCGTCCTTGTGTGTGAGTCGTTCGGGCTCCTCATGGTGTGAGTCGTTCGGGCCCCTCATCCTGGTGTGAGTCGTTCGGACCGCTCGTCCTGGTGTACGTCGCTCGGGCCCCTCCTTGTGTGTGAGTTGTTCGGGGTCCTCGCGGTGTGAGTCGTTGGGGCCCCTCGTCCTGGGGTGAGTCGTTCGGCCTCCTCGTGGGCGTCTTGGGGGCATCTTAGAAGCTCTCGGGGCCCCTTGGGGGCCTCTTTGTGGTCTCTTGGGCGCCTCTTGGGGGCCACGAGGGGCGTCTTGGGGCTTCTTGGAAGCCTCTTGGGGGCCTCAGATGGGCCTCTTGGGGCCTCTTGGGGGCCTCTTGGGGGCCTCGTCCTTCCTTGTGTGGGTGCCTCGGGCCCCTCATTGTGTATGAGTCGTTCGGGTTCCTCGTAGTGTGAGTCGTTCGGGTTCCTCGTAGCGAGAGTTCGCGTCTGTGTGCGTTGCAGATATGTGAGTCGTTCCAGCTCTTCGTGGTATGAGTCGTTGGGGCCCCACGCCCTTCCTTGTTTGACTCCTTCGGGCCCCTCATTGTGTGTAAGTCGTTCGGGCTCCTCGTGGTGTGAGTCCCGTCCTTGTGTGTGAGTCGTTCGGTCCCCTCCTCCTGGTGTAACTCGTTCGGGCTCCTCGTGGTGTGAGTCGTTCGGGGCCCGCGTCGTGGTGTGAGTCGTTCGGGCTCCTCGTGGTGTGAGTCGTTCGGGCGCCTCGTCCTGGTGTGAGTCGTTCAGGCCCTTCCTTGTGGTGTGAGTCGTTCGGGCTCCTCGTGGTGTGAGTCGTTGGGGTCTCTCGTCCTGGCGTGAGTCGTTCGAGCTCCTCGTGGGGCCTGTTGGGGGCCTCTTGGAGCCTCTTGGGGCGTCTTGGGGGCCTCTTGGGGGCCTCTTGGGGGCGTCTTGGGGGGCTTCTTGGGGCCTCTTGGGGCCTCTGGGGGGCCTCTTGGGAGCCTCTTGGGGGCCTCTTGGGGCCTCTTGGGGGCCTCTTGGGGACCTCCTGGAGGCCTCTTGGGAGCCTCCTGGGGGCCTCTTGGGTCCATCTTGGAGCCTGTTGCGACCTCCTCAGAAGCGCAAATGAGCGCTGCCCCCTGATTTGACCAAAATGATCCCAAAACCTTCGTACAATCAATGATTTTGCTATGAAGGAAAGGGGAACGCGGCGTCGCGGCCCCCTCAGAAGGCCAAACTGGGGCCAAAACCGTAGTAAAATCAATGATTTTTGCTTCAACGACGAGCTGAGGCACCAAACTGCCCCCCCCCCCCCTCGGGGCCAGAATCCTCGTGAGGGTCGTCGTTTTTTGGCCCTCCCAGGCGTCGAAAAAGACCCCCCTGACGACGCTCGGAACTCCCTCTCCAGGTCCAGGGGGAGGGGGTAGGGGGAGGGGTAAACCCCTCCCCGAAGGGGAAGAAGGGGGGTTGAGGACAGAGAGAGCTCCCTAAACCACTCACGCCCAAAGGGCTGGTGGGATTTGCACGGAATGTGGTGGACGAGGAAGGCGGGTAGCAGAAAGAGGGGCAACACGGATGACGGGGCAAGACACAGGATGGACGAAAACACCGCGATTCAACGAATCGTCGACTACCAGGCAGCTATGGGGACATGCGTGGGTGGGGGAGAGACGAATCTTTAGAATATATTGAAAATGTGGAGGGGAAATCATGAGATTCGTCTATACTGCGAAGGCATTACGGCCAGTGCCGCCGACCCTGAATGGTGACGACGACGACGACGACGACGACGACGACGATGACGACGACGACGACGAGCGCTCTCGGGTGCCTCTTGGGGGTAGTTTGGGGGCTTCTTGGGAGGCTCTTGGGGACCGCTTGGGAGCCTCCTTCCTGGGGGTCTTTTGGGAGCCTCTTGCTTGGCGGGTTTCTTCGGATTCTCTGGGGGCTTGCGGGGAGCTTCTCAGGCCGAGAGCATGAAATAACCGATCGGGTCCCTCGTCTGGGCCCTATTTGAGCCTCTTCGGCTGTCCTGGAGACTTGGAAGTCCTCTTGGAGGCATCTTGGGGCGTTTTGGAAACGTTTTGGGCCCTCTGGAGGCTACTTTGGCGACTTGGGCTAGTACTTTGGCAATTCGGGGCCCTCGAGCACCGTTTTGGGGGCATCTTGGGGCACTTTTGCGTCCTTGTAGCTTTTCTGTGTCTCCGAACCGCACAGGGGGGGAGTGGTATCTGGGTGGCGACCCCCCCAGGGACCCTCCTGGGGACCCCCCCCCTCTCCGGCGGGAAAGGGATGAACTGCTGCCCTTCGACTCAACTACAACGGGCCTAGGGGAAAGAGAGGGGAGCGGCGACGACGACGACGACCACGACCACGACGACGACGACGACGACGTGTTAAACAGAACAGCCTCTTCCACGCTCCGGCAGGGTCGGCGGATTTGTATGTGTGTCCCTGGGCTCCTTTTTGTTCAAGGATCAGGGTGGTGGGTGGGGGCCGAGGAGGTCGGAGAAGACGGGGCGGGGAGGGGAGGACGGAGCTATGGAGAGGAGGGGCACGGAGGAGGGCGAGCGAGCAAGGGATGACGAGCTAGGAGGAGGGAGGAGGGGGGACGAGCCGAGGGAGGAGCACGAGGGAAGCAGCTGGAAAGGGGAGTTGATGGGGGAGCAGGGCGAGCAGGAGGAGGAGGAGCACGTTGGGGGCGAGTGGCTAAGGCCACACGGTGAGGCGCAGCAGGAGGAGGAGAAGGAGGAGGAGGGAGGAGGAGAGGAGGAGGAGGAGGAGGAGGAGGAGGAGGAGGAGGAGGAGGGAGCAGGAGGAAGATGGGGGAGGGGGAGGGGGAGGGGGAGGGGAAGGAGGAGGAGGAGGATGAGGAGGAGGAAGATGGGGGAGGAGGAGGAGGATGGGGGAGGGGGAGGGGGAGGGGGAGGAGGAGAAGGAGGAGGAAACTTATGAAAAGGAGGGACGAGAGGGGGAGGCGCTGGGCCGTTCTCAAAGGTTTCGCGGTGGCGCCTAGAGGGGAGGGGGGGGCGAGGAGGAGGATGTGGCGGTTGCTTCCGACTTGGCGGCCGCCGTTGCCGCCACCCCGCAGGCTGGCCCCGCCCCCGCCCTGCTTTCTCCTCTGCATTGCAGTTGGCTTGTGCACGTGTTGAAACAACATCAACAACAACAACAAAAACAACAAAAACAACAAAAACGACTTGCGGTCTTCAGGGATGCGCGCGGGCAGGACGAGGAGGGACGATGGAAGCGGAGGAAGGACGGCAGAGGTCGTGCGTGCGGTGAGGCGCCGTGGGCGCGGAGGAGGAGCGGAAGGGAGGGGAGCGGACGTGGTCCTGAGTCGCCGCCTTATCATCCAGGGCCGCGGGCGCGATGATGCCGAGAGGGAGTAGGTCGCACGATAAGAAAGGAGAAGGGCGGAGGGAGGCATGAGGGGGGGGACGGGAGGACATCGCACGAGCAGGCGGGAGGATGAGGACAGAGGAGGATTGAGGAGTAAGGACGAGGAGGAGGAGGAGGAGCACGAGCAGGAGGAGGAGGACGAGGAGGAGATTCTGGCGCTAGTCTTGATCGACAGCACCGCCATCAGCTGCAGTTACTCAGAGTAGGGCCAGTCGAGGCAAGGGTACTTGGCCTTAGAGGCCCACCCTCGTCGCCACTGCTGGGCGAAGCTCGGAAAATTAGTGCGTTGGGGCCCCGGGAGGGGTCCAGGGATCGATCTGAGTTGTCTCAGCTTGCCCTGGTTCGAGATTAGGCAAAGGCGCCCTCGAGGGCGCGAAGTTGTTCGCGCTTCGCGCTTCGGCTTTGACTCCTTCTCGTCCTCCTCTTCCCACCCTGGGGGGGCGGCGCGAGAGCGCGAAGCTACTCTCGCGCTTCGCGCAGCGCGATGCGCGAAAGTAGGCGCCCTGGTGTAGGCGAAGGACCCTTCGGAACTCTGCAGGCGCCAGCGGCCCGCTCGCCCGGCCGCCTGTTCTACCGGCCGCGCCCCCGCCCCCTAGGACCACAGGCTGCACTCCGACCGCCAGCAGAAAGAGGCGCGGAAGCTCGCTGCTTCGAGAGCTGGCCGGGCAAGAGCAGGGGCGAGCTTCGGACGGGGCCAGGACGAGGATCAATCCGCTCTCAGAGCGTTCCATAAGGCTCCGAAACGGCCGCGGCGCCCGAGACATGCTCCAAAGCCGGCGGATCTCAGAGATTTGATGTATTCTCACCCGGTGTGATCTTCGTCTTGCCTTCGTCTTAGAGCTGGGAAGCTGAAACGGCCGAGGGAGCAAGTGACGAAGAAACACAATCGGCAGGAACATGAATTCTAGACGCTTCGCAGAACCCCACTAGCCCATCCAGAAACGATGCCCAGAGGAATTGCCTCGATCAGGGAAGTGTGCAGCACACAGAGGAAGGGTCTCCCAGTGGAGGCCTATTGGAGCGTTTTGGGTGCCTCGGAGAGCTGCTTGGGGCCTCTTGGGGGTCTCTTGGGAACATCTTGGAAGCCTCTTGGGCGCCTGTTGGGGCCTCCTGGGCGCCTCTTGGGACCCTCTTGAAGCGCTCTTGGGAGCCTTGGGAGCGCTCTTGGGGCCATCTTGGAGGACATCGATCAAGCAAGAAGAAGCATTAATTAGCTTTGCCCCTCGGGACCCCAACACATCGCCTCTTGGGGCGCTCTTGGAGCGCTCTTAGGCGCTCTTGGGGCCGCCTTGGGGCTCTCTTGAGCCCCTCTTGGAGCCCTTTTGGGCCATCTTGGAGCCATCTTGAGGCCAAAGAGGCCAACATGTTGCTAAAACCTTAGTATAATCAATTACGCTACCGAGGAACCCCACATACCTAGTTTGAGTCGCGTGTGTTCGCAGACCCTCGCCGCCCATCTGAACAATTGCAGTCTTCATCGCCAAACATGGAGGTGGCAGCGCATCCACGGCGATTTTGGGGGGCATGGCTGCCGCGCAGGTCGGGTGGTACTCTGAAGTAGGACTACAGGAGCGCGCCTGACAGCGCAGGCGCGCCGAGCCGGCTTGAGCCAAGGTGTTTACACATCTTGACAAGATACAAGTTCCCACCCCCAGCGCACCCCCTTGTGGCGTCGAGGAAATGCCACGCCTGCCACTCCTCTACAGTTAACCTTGCTGAGAATACTTCTGCCGCATACACGCCTGAGGCACCGTGCATACTGCCCAAGATATAGACTCCAGAAAATGCCAAAGCTGCTACGCTACCTACGTACCCTCTCTGCTGTCAAGGCCCCTGTGGCGTCGAGGAAATGCCACGCCTGCCACGCCCTGGGAGCCTGCAGCGCACAGGGCCCCCACCCCCAGCGCACCCCTTGTGGCGTCGAGGAAATGCCACGCCTGCCACGCCCTGGGAGCTTGCAGCGCACCCCTCCGGTGTCGAGAAAGTGCCACGCCTGCTAGGCCCTGTGACATTGGCGCGTATAGAGACCGCGGTGGGCCCCCACCCCCAGCGCACCCCCTGTGGCGTCGAGGAAATGCCACTCCTGCTAGGCCCTGCGACATTGGCGCGTATAGAGACCGCGGTGGGCCCCCACCCCCAGCGCACCCCCTGTGGCGTCGAGGAAATGCCACGCTTGCTAGGCCTTGCGACATTGGCGCGTATAGAGACCGCGGTAGGCCCCCACCCCCAGCGCACCCCCTTTGGCGTCGAGGAAATGCCACTCCTGCTAGGCCCTGGGACGTTGGCGCGTATAGAGTCCGCGGTGGGCCCCCACCCCCAGCGCACCCCCTGTGGCGTCGAGGAAATGCCACTCCTGCTAGGCCCTGCGACATTGGCGCGTTTTGAGACCGCGGTGGGCCCCCACCCCCAGCGCACCCCCTGTGGCGCCGAGGAAATGCCACTCCTGCTAGTCCCTGCGACATTGGCGCGTTTTGAGACCGCGGTGGGCCCCCACCCCCAGCGCACCCCCTGTGGCGTCGAGGAAATGCCACTCCTGCGAGGCCCTGGGACATTGGCGCGTATATGCGGTGGGCTCCCACCCCGAGCGCACCCCCTGTGGCGTCGAGGAAATGCCACTCCTGTGAGGCCCTGGGACATTGGCGCGTATGGAGACCGCGGTGGGCCCCCACCCCCCGTGCTGTGCTGAGTTGAGCAGGGGGGAGGTGTGAGACGCGGGTGCGGCGCGGCAGGGAAAAAACCAGAACCCCTCGAAACATGTGGGGAATGATTTGGCATTCTCGCCGAGGCCTCTTGGAGCATTTTGGGTGCCTCTGGGGAGTCTCTTGGGGCCTCTTGGGGGTCTCTTGGGGGCCTCTTGGGGGCATCCTGGGGCCCTTTTGGGGCTTCCTGGTCACCTCTTGGGGTCCTCTTGGGGCACCCTTGGGGGCCATCTTTGGGCCATCTTGGGTGAGATCGATCACAAAAGGGGGGTCACTAATTAGGGCCCCCCCCTTCAGGAGGCCAAAATGGGGCCAGAACCTTAGTACAAATGATTTTGGCTCCATCGCCGAGGCCGTTGTGGACGCTCCGACACCTCGCAGAACCCCCTGTCCAGGTCCAGGGGAGGGGGGGGAAGGGATAAAACCCTTCCCCGAATGGGAAGAAGCATGGGGTGGAAGAGGAACCTCCTTAGACCACCTACGCTCAGGGGGTTTGGTGGGATTGTCGCGGAGGGCCGCGCAGATTTCTCGGATCGGCGCTGGGCGGAGCGCGCCAGGGAAGGGGGGTTTGGTGCCGATCCCAGGAAACCCGTGCGAACCTCCGACAGTTGCGCGGCTGGGCGCGGCTCGGGAGAAAGGCCGGGATGGGTTCCCACGGGCTGGAGGGAGGATTCGAGGACCGCTCTCTTAAAGAATGTTGAACGGAGTTGTTAGTCAAGAGTGAACGGACCGGCCGCGGGAGAGGAGGGAGGGAGGGAGGGAGGGAGGGAGGGAGGGAGGGAGGGAGGGAGAGAGAGAGAGAGAGGGAGAGGCCAAACAAGAGATGTGCACGCAGGGCGACAAGCAGGACTACACAGATATGTATACAGACATGTAGAGCGTGTGTAGTGTTTTTCCCAACCATCCTGTGGTGTTGGGTCCTCGTTTTGAAGAGACAGCGCCCCGCGTCCCACCTCCTCTCCTCCTCCTCCCCCTCCTCGCCCTCCTCCCTCCTCCCCCTCCTTGCCTCTGCTCTCGGCACACCCCTCACACGTTTCGTGGCCCCATAGGGAGCTCCACCGAAGGTCCCAGTGGCACAGCCCGCATGCGGTTCCCCCACCCAGGGCAGCGTTTCGTAGCCCCATAGGGAGCTCCACCGAAGGTCCCAGTGGCACAGCCCGCATGCGGTTCCCCCACCCAGGGCAGCGTTTCGTGGCCCCATAGGGAGCTCCACCGAAGGTCCCAGTGGCACAGCCCGCATGCGGTTCCCCCACCCAGGGCAGCGTTTCGTAGCCCCATAGGGAGCTCCACCGAAGGTCCCAGTGGCACAGCCCGCATGCGGTTCCCCCACCCAGGGCAGCGTTTCGTAGCCCCATAGGGAGCTCCACCGAAGGCCCCAGTGGCACAGCCCGCATGCGGTTCCCCCACCCAGGGCAGCGTTTCGTGGCCCCATAGGGAGCTCCACCGAAGGTCCCAGTGGCACAGCCGCATGCGGTTCCCCCACCCAGGGCAGCGTTTCGTGGCCCCATAGGGAGCTCCACCGAAGGTCCCAGTGGCGCAGTTCGCATGCGCCCCCCCCCCCCACCCACACCCAGGGCAGCGTTTCGTGGCCCCATAGGTAGCTCCCCCGAAGGTCCCAGTGGCGCAGTTCGCATGCGTCCTCCTCACACCCAGTACAGCGTTTCGTGGCCCCAGAGGGAGCTCCACCGAAGGTCCCAGTGGCGCAGTTCGCATGCGTCCTCCCCACACCCAGTACAGCGCTTCGTTGCCCCATAGAGAGCTCCACCGAAGGTCCCAGTGGCGCAGTTCGCATGCGTTCCCCCCCCGCCCAGTACAGCGTTTCGTGGCCCCATACGGGGCTTCCCCGAATGCGACACCCACAACTGCATATGGTTGGGTCCTTCGCCAGGCTAATTTTTTGTTCAGAGGTCTAGGAGAAAGAGAGAGAGAGAGAGAGACAGAGACAGAGACAGAGACAGAGACAGAGAGGGAGGGAGAGAGAGGGTTCACCCTCGAGCCCAGGATCGATGAGAATTCGACTCAGGCCAGGCTTGTGCTTGTGCTTGGACTCGGGCTGATGCTCGCGCCTTGGTGCAGGCTCGGGCTCGGGCTTGGGCTTCGGCTCGGGGTCAGGACTCGGGCTCCTGCTTGTGCTCGGGCGTAGGGAGGGAGGGTGGAAGAGAGGAAGAGAGATGCACTCAGTGCGGCAAGCAGGGTGTTGCATGGATGCATGCGCATGTACCTATACCGCACACATATATGTTTACCATGTGTCGGGTTCGCCGTGCGTATATACACACCGATATCCATATGTACACATATAGATATGTATGTATATGTACATGTAGATCTACACATGCATACATGTGCATGCGTGTATGCATGTGTGTATGCATGCATGTATGTATTGTATAGTATATTATAGTATAGTATAGTGTAGTGTAGTGTAGTACAGTATAGTATAGTATAGTCTTGTCTAGTATAGTGTAATATAAACATCAATGTCTATCCCTGAGCACGCCACGGGGGGGTTCGGCAGGGGCCCTCGACGCGCCATGGGGGGACAGGGGCGCCAGGGACGCTTCCAGACGGCCCAAGACAGCCCCAACACATAAAAAGGGCCGCGAGAGGCCTCCAAGAGACCTACTGTCGCAAACATCATTCGATCACGCCCAAGATGGCCTCCAGATGGCCCACAAGACTTTCAACACGGCCCAAGGGGTTCCCAAGAGCACTCCCAAAAGGGCTCCAAGAAGCCAACATTATTTACCGTCCGTCGGTTTTTGGTCCATTTCAGCGTTTCTGCTTGTTCAGCGTTCCGACGCTCCAAGGCAGTCCCGGACACCGAGATATCGCCAAAACAGGCTCCTACGAGGGCGCAGAGACGTCCCAGGGACCCCCAGACAGCCCAAGACAGCCCCAACACAGCTGAAAAGGGCCGCGAGAGGCTTCTA